AAGCTCAAGCCCATATTCAAGTCCAATTGTGTTAGTCCGAAAGAAAACAGGAAAACTAAGACTGTGCGTTGACTATAGAATGCTGAACAACAAAACAAGAAAAGACGCTTATCCGTTACCCAGGATACAAGAGTCCATGGACGCTCTAGTAGATGCTAAGCTATTCTCTGTAATGGATCTCCAACAAGCTTATTATCAAGTTCAAGTAGCTGAAGAAGACATATATAAAACAGCCTTCACAACACCCTTTGGTCTGTACGAATATCTTAGAATGCCCTTTGGTCTAACAAACGCACCTGCAACTTACCAACGACTTATGCAAATGGCGTTCAGAGATGAGATTTTTAAATCCATACTAGTTTATCTCGACGACTTGATTGTATACTCAGAATCAATTGAAAATCACATTGAGAGACTTGAAAATGTATTCGGCATCCTACAGAAGTTTGGCCTGAAATTAGAACTTTCAAAGTGCTCATTTTTTAAAGAAGAAGTCAAATATCTTGGCATGAAAGTGTCAAAAGATGGTGTCCAGCCAGATCCTAAGAATATAAAAGTGATTGAGGAATGGCCAGTTCCAGAGAATGTGAAAGAATTAAGAGCATACATGGGATTCAGCAGCTACCATAGGAGATTCATCAAGCAGTTTGCCAAGATTGCAACTCCTTTATATGATATTCTCTCCAAAGTTGGAACTGTAAAGAAAAGAAGATCAAAGAAAGTATCAATAAAAGAACACTGGAATGACATTTGTCAAGAAGCCTTCATGGAGATAAAGAGAAGATTAAAATCTGCTCCTATTCTAGCTTTTGCAAACTATAACCTCTCATTTATAGTAGAAACCGATGCAAGCAACAAAGGCCTAGGATGTACTCTTTTACAAGAACAAGATGGTGTTAAGCGAGTTATAGCTTATGGCAGCCGAGGACTAAGAGGTTCTGAAAGAAACATGAAGAACTATTCCAGTAAGAAATTAGAACTGTTAGCCTTGAAGTGGGCAATCACCAACCAATTCAGAGATTATCTTCTGGGATCATACTTCACAGTATATACTGATAATAATCCCTTGACATACATCTTCAAGAAGAAAAAGCTTCCTGCATTGGAACAAAGATGGATAGCTGATTTGGCATCATTCAGATTTGATATCATCTACAAAGCTGGAAAAGAAAACACAATAGCTGATATATTATCAAGACTTCCAAGATCAGGAGCAACTGAGAGAGATGACGACTCTGAAGAATCTGAACAAGAAGAAGCAGCTATGACAGTACATGTTGAAGAAGAGGAAAAGTTTCCAAAGGAACTACAAGAACAGAATACAATGGAAGTAATAGCAGCTCATTGTGAAACTACAATTATTCCTCCTGAGATTCACAGTTTAGCATTAAAACAAGAATACACACGTCAAACTGATAGCAGAGTTCAAAAGGACGACAGAACAGCAAGCACTATATTTCCAACAATGAAAGATGGTTACGAAAAAATCCAGGACAAAGACAAAGATATTAGTGTCATTAAGAAATGTGTCAAAGAAGGACAGCACCCAAACAAGATTGAACAGAAAAAACTGTCTAAAACATCCAAAGCTCTACTTCGGAATTGGAACCGTCTAAATATTATCAAAAATGTTCTAGTAAGAAAAATCAAGGACAACAATGGAAATGAAACTTATCAAATCATAGTCCCACAATGTATTCGTGAAGATGTATTGAAAGCTAACCATGATATGAGCGGACATCAAGGATCTGACAGAACTGAAAAACTTGTAACAAAGTCTTTCTTCTGGCCAGGAATGTATACAGATATACGAAACTATGTACGAGATTGCTCAAGATGTTTGTATTCCAAGAAACCAGTCAGAAATGTAATTACGCCATTGGGAAGTTTAACAGCCAAACGCCCACTTGAGTTATTATTTCTAGACTTTACACTTTTGGAGAAATCTTCCGATGGAATCGAAAATGTTCTAATAATAACTGACGCTTTCACAAAATACACTCTTGCAATTCCTACAAGGAATCAAAAAGCTGATACAGTCGCAAAAGTCCTAGTCAACAATTGGTTCTATAATTTTGGAATACCAATGAGAATCCACTCGGACCAGGGACGGAATTTTGAAAGTGAAATTATTGCAAGCCTTTGCCAACTCTATGGTATCAAAAAATCTAGAACAACTCCATACCATCCTTCAGGAAATGGGCAATGTGAACGTTTCAATAGATCGCTCCACTCGCTACTGAGAACACTTTCCGAAGAGAAAAAGAAAAAATGGACGAAGCATATACGAGATGTTGTCTTTGCATACAACAATACTCCTCACAGTTCAACAGGTTACTCTCCATTTTACTTGATGTTCGGCAGAGAGGCAAGAACACCAATTGATATACAGCTAGGATCCTTAGATGTAGACACTCAACAAGAAAACTGGGTCACGGAACATAGTGAAAGATTGAAATATGCTTATAAAATGGCAAATATTCAACTGGAACAAAATTCATCAAAAAGGAAGGAATATCAGGAAAAGAAAGTAACACACAAAAACGAAGACATTGAGATAGGATCTGTAGTATTACTAAAGAAATTTCATCAAGGAAGAAACAAAATCCAAGATACTTATGATCAAAAAGAATACATAGTTGTGAATAGGAAAGGAGATGTATATGAAATTCAAGATGAAAGTGGTGAGAAGAAAAATGTAAACAGACAAAACATAAAACAAAAACCACTCACTACTAGAGATAGTCAAAAGAAAGAAATTGTGAGAACTGAGTCAAAATCAGATGAACATGACAACAGGAGATACAATTTAAGAAAAAGAAAGAGTGCAAAGTCGGAATCAAGTGTTAAAGACAACGAATCAGCCAGACATAGACACAGACAGACAGCCCTACATGTAGATGATCTAAAAACAATGATCCCAAAAATGCAAAAGAAAGGACAAATCTGAAAAACATACCAGTAATAAAATAACTAAAAAGATCCCAGATGTTCAGTGAAAAGCGCAAAGTAAATCATAGATGAAGAGAAAATAAAATAAGTGTTTTAAGGGACTATACTAACATAAAGATAACTCCTTATTGATATAGTGTATGGTCAGTAAAAGTTAAAGCTAGTTTAAATAGATTTAGCTTTTTTCCACAAACTATAAAACATCATTTTGAAAGAGATTTCAATAGTATACAGACAGTGATTGCCTTTGAGCAATGTAATGCAAAATATGACAGTTACTATTTGTTTTGATTACAATATCTAGTATATAACCTATTATTATGTACTCTATTTGAAGAAACAAATAAGTAGTCTTTCATTTTCAACATTTAATGATGACAGCTTCGTATATGCATTTCTATTGCATTTGGCCATTCAAACCCCTATAAGACCTGGTAGCAGGGAAGATAAAGGGTACTTTTGACTGCTCACATGATCTAATTAACTGGTCATTTGTACTTTTCATATTCCCTGGTAGCAAGGATTTAGGTTTTCGAGGAAATTAGTAATTCTATTTCATATCATGTGGCCATGAATAATCCAATGAGCATCAATAATACAAAGAGTAATTGAGGGCATATAATTTGAATATGCATAGGATTACACATACTGTATCATTTTATTTTTTGGATACTTGTAATAGTTCTAAAACTAAAACATGAAAGGCCAGGCATGCAAACTGGCATGGTATTGTGTTACAAAACATTATTTCATTCTAGATACAATAATATGCATATTGGCATACTTCGTTTTAATATAAGATTGTTATAACTCCAAGTTTTGCAAGTCACATGACCAATTCTTAGAGAGTTGATTGGTTGAAACAGTTGAAATCAGATATGACAATTTGAAATTAGAAATAAGCTGTTTGTCTGGAGATGGTACAATTTCACACTGAATTCTAGCTTAATGAGAGGGAATTGAGATGGGGCATGTATCTGAGATGAAAGCCTGTGTTTCAAATAGTAAAATTCCATGTCTATCTCAATTTTTTTGAAAATGGCAGTTAGTACAAAGTTATTCTCACGCGACGATGTATGTACATGTACTGTAAATGAGCCTGGCCATAGGAAAACCGGTCTTCTCACAAAAATTAAAATTGTGCTACAGAGCCAAAAATGTGCCCACAATTAAGAGGAAAATGTGCTAAATTCAGATCCCACTTTTTGGTCTATATATGCAAGGAAAAATTGTTAGGACATAAGTCATGGCTCATTTGAAAGGTTTCTTTGTGCTTTTTAAGATAAACAAAAAATCAGAATATTGAAAAAATCTGTGATAAGACCCCTTTTCCTGTGGCCTGGCTCAAATGATGCATTCAAACACCTCTCCGATCTGAACATCTCTCAACCCCAATTTGAAATGTGAACACCTATGGGAACACTTTTGGCATGTCCCAGTTGGGTTCAGATTAGACAGGTTTTACTGTACTCTAACTTGGGTTGATTTGGCTCTCACTGTATAGGAAAAATCTTGCAGATTATCTTATTCAAATGTGACATTTTTTTAAATATTTTTAATTCATATTGATGTTACTTGCACCATTTGTATATTGATATCAACGTCTTTTCTGCAATTATCAAAGCTGGAAAAATGATCATGTTTTTTTATTCTTTGCCTTTTTAATTGAGTTCAAAATACTTTATTTCCATAAGACAATGCAGGGTAATTAACTTGCCAGGTCTATATTTTTCAACAAGAAAATTGTACAATGCACAGATACACACTTTTCTCAATAGGTTTCTAAATCCTATTTTTACATGTTTTGGTCAAAATATCTCAGTATTTCACCCCCCTCAAAACAGACAGGGTGGCATACTGGCATATGTTTCAGAATATTAACAGGATGCATTACAAAGCTATTGCAGTTCTGCACTGGGAAGATCACTCATAATTCTAGCTGATCTATGGAACATACATGGAGGGAGATGAATGGTTCAAATGTAACTAACTGATAGTAGATATATATAGGGAATAATGGGGAAGTCATCAAAGTTGCCAAAACTCACATTTTCTCCAAACTAGGTTCATCAGAGAATCTGAAATCCAAGGGGTCTGAAGGCAGTTCAGATTTTGAAGAATCATTACTCCCTGTACCAGTCTTTGTACTATTGCTTATACTCTCTCCAATGTTATTCTCTGTGTTGTTATCCCTTGTGCTGTTTTCTGAATTGTTTATTGTGCAGTTTACTGTGCTGTTTATTGTCCCATTTGTTATGTGGTTCTGTGTATTGTCTTCTGTAATATTTTCAGTGTTTTTATTCTCTTCGTCGTTCATCTTTCGTTTCTTTAATTTTGGCGAAGACATTTTATCTGAAAATATTTTATAATAACATTTTTTAATACTATAAATGTTGCATGGCTTTTTACGGCACTTTAATCAATGCGAACATGTTCAAAGAATCTAAATCATGGGGCCACCTGAGTAGATCAACCATAAATGTTTTAACTTTTCATACCAATCAGTTTTATATGCAAAACTGATAAGGGAATGAGGGCACATAACGAATTTTCAACAAAATGTTATCATTTTGTAGAAATTCCATCAAACAATTCATATCTATAAAATATTCCATATTTCCAAAATCATACCCAGTTTTAATATTTTCAAAAAGTATGGGGTGGTCCAAAAAATGGGACACTCGTATTTCAAAAATAAATATTGATTTTCTTGATGAAAACATTTCATATTATATATCAATGGATGCTGGATAGGAATTGACTCTTCTTTAATTTGGTATAAATGATGTCATTTTCGTTTCAAAACAAGTTTTCCAAAACTTGCAAAAAACAAATTTTATTGTCAACTTTATTAACATAAACAGACGTTCAATATGTCCACCATTTTGATCAATTGCAGCCCTCAATTTTGGCCTAAATTGGTCAATAGCATCATCATCACTTCTCAATAATACTGTCCTTCAGGGACTGAATAGATGCACGGTAAAGGATTTATGGTATACTAATTCTGTTAGTTCTCCCCATACGTGGTTGTCGCAGAAGTTGGGTAATCTGGTGATCTGGGGAGGCAGTGTTAAAGGGGGATGAATCTAGGCAAATTTTCTTTTAACCATTTGACACTCTTGTGGGATCTATTGATTGTCCGAGCCCCATCTTGTTGGAAAATGTGATGATTTAAAAATGAGCTCATATCAGGATGGTCCAAAAACAATATAATTGGGTCATCCGATATCAACTTCTGCGACGACCACATATTGGCAGAACTATTAGAATTGGTTTATCATGAACCCCTTACATCTACTCAGTCCCGGGACTCAGTCCCTTATTAAGGATAGAATTGTTGAGATGTGAAATTCATTGTCTCAACAGCATATCAATGAAATTGAGGGCTACATTTGATCAAAATTGTTGCCATATTGAATATCTGTTTATGTAAATAAAGTTGACAAAAACTTGTTTTTTGCAAGTTTTGGAAAATGTGTTTTGAAATGAAAATGACATCATTTATATTATGGACGCTGGTTGACAGACATTATTATTAATTTGAACTTATGATATACCAAATTAAAGATAAGAAAATTCCCTATCCACTGGTATATAATATGACATGTTTTTATTTTTGAAATATGAGTGTCCCATTTTTTGGACCACCCTGTAGACCCAGTTCTAGGGATTTTTTCATCAAAATGAGACCCATATCTGTTGGTTTTTTTCTTCTAAATGGGACTGACATTTAGGGATTTTTTGGTGAACAAGTGACCCACTTTAGCAGCACGTCCCCATATAACCAATATATGGGAGGACCCCTTCCTGTGCATATAAGAAGCCCCAGTTGGATGAAATGGCAACAACGTGACAAGTAGAACTGACCAAAATTATGATGAAATCCACCCTCACCACTCTCATTTGTTACAGATGCCAAACAACTGCCAGACACTGAACACCAACTTCTGAATGCCGCACACCAACCAACGAACACCGTCTACTGGTGGTGACATAATGCGACATCATCAGCTGGAAACACCTGAATACTGCGTTCCACAATGTAACCTAGCAGGATGGATGACATAGAACAAACTCATAAGTAGACACATGGTTACATTTCATTATTTCGTTATTTTAACCGAACTGGTCACTAGAATTTCTGTTTTATCTTTAGAGACTCGAAAAAATTCAGTGAGTCTGAGTCTCAATAAGTTACAGTGCTCACCATAAAGAATTACAAAAGCTATGGAAATTACATGCTGTCGCACATGTAATAAATTCTTACCTCCGTGTATTCAGTGCTCAATTTTCTCCGTCCTAGTAAGTCCAGATATAGAGGAATTCGTGTCCATAATGACAAATAAGAACTTCAAAATTTGAAGTGGAATTCACATGTTAATGCCGTTCCGCCATTCTGAAATCTGTCACGAGTAAATAAGATTACCTGATGTTGCATTCTGAGAGTCAATTCTCCTTGGATCATAAACATGGCGATTCATGAAAACATTTGTTCGATTTGGTAGGGATTTATCCATCATTTGCAGGTATGAAGCTTTGGATTCAATTATAGCGCTACTTAAAGTCATTTGAGAATTATTTTTCTACCGCTTGGGAGAGTTTGAGACACGAAACTTAGAATTTAGCTCATTGTGACAACTTTTGAGGGTTGAGATTTATTTTTGCACCCCATTTTAGATTCTATCAGCAAACATCTGAATGGTCGTGGTCTATGTCTACAGTGGGGGGCATAAAGAATTACAAAACCTATGGAAATTACATGTTGTCGCATATGTAATAAATTCTTACCTCAGTGTATTCAGTGCTCTATTTTCTCCGTCATAGTAAGTCCAGATATAGTGGAATTTGTGTCCATAATGACAAATAAGAACTTAAAAATTTGATGTGGAATTCACATGTTAATGCCGACTCTTCAAATGTTGAGGTGATTTTGGAGCCAGATTACGCCGCAATGTGGGTTGGCTCCCAGAATGCAACATGACACGTGTCAGCTTTCAAAATGCCATTCCGCCGTTTTGAAATACGTCACGAATAAATAAGGTTACTTGACGTTGCATTCTGGGAGTCAATCCTCCTTGGATCACAAACATGGCGATTCATGAAAACATTAGTCCGATTTGGTAGGGATTTATCCATCATTTGCAGGTATGAGGCTTTGGATTCATTTATTCAGAGCTGTCAAGTGTCCTGCAAATGGCGGGATTATCCCGCGAATTCGATCAAAATTAGGCTAATTCGCGTGTCCCGCAATGTCCCGCGAAGTCCCGCAAATGTGGCTTTCGACCTCCGCGAATTTCCGAAATTGTTGCAATCCCCTATATGGTGATTATCTTATCTTATAGAAGAAGCTAAGTTTTTGCACTTTTGAGGAGTAAAGTTTACCTAATTTTAAGTACCTAGCATGCTGTTGTTTGGTATCAAAATAAAGAGGAAGGGTTCAACTTTCATTTTAATTACGACAATAGGGATGTAGGTCACAAATAGTTCCAACGTTGGCCTTTTTACTATCCATGTGGCCTTCATCTCAGAACTGAGCAAATGTTAGCAAACGCGAGTTACAATAAATGGACGCTGATACTGTATCTAGAAAGGGTTTGTAGAAAAAACCGGGTACCGGGTAGTAAATCCTCCATGCTGGGTTCAAACTTGGTACCCGGTACCCGGTCAAAAAACGGGTACCCAAAAAATGAAAAATACGAATATACGAGTATAACATAATTAGATTATCAGAAAACATGTAAGATTTGTTTTGAATTTACAAAAATGTATGTAACATCCTTCAAAATTGAGCTAGAAGCTTCAAATAAAAAGCATATTTTAGGTAGAGATTAAAAGGTGGATTGGATCGAGTGGATTGGATTCATGTAAAAGGTGGATTGGATCGGGAATCTTCAAAATATGGATTTTTTAGTTGATCTCCCTCTAAGCAATTTCCTCCGGCCTAAAGTATTTTGTGATAACTTGGGTCCCTTTAAGGAATCGACAAAGCAATTACAAATACATACTTCAATTAGTTGATAGAAACTCTAAAGTATTTAACTGCTCTCCCTTGTAAATCAACATTAGTAAGACATAATAAACAAAGATCTGTAGATAAGAGCTGTCATTCAAAATGACGTGTGGGTGTTCCCAAGACATTTCTACCATGTTCTGTTTGAATTGAAAGCAAATGATACATACAGATGATCCATATATGGAACGTCGACTTCAAAAGTCTGCCTTATGATTTGTGAAACGTCTAAAATTACCCTTGGAATGAATAAGATTGTGTATCGGGTCACTTTTCTAGCCTACCCAAGCAAAATAATATAACATCTATTATTTGACGTTGTGGAAGTGAGGAGAGCATTAATCGTCTGATGGGAGATCAATATAAATTTTTAAGGAAAATCCATATTTTGAAGAATCTCGATCCAATCCACATTTTACATGAATCCAATCCACTCGATCCAATCCACCTTTTAATCTTTACCATATTTTAAGGCTCTTTTCTTCCTCTATCGCCATGACCATATTTTCATTGGTTATGTTCACGTACCAACATACGAACTCATTGAAAATAGAGTAAAATTGATTTGTCTTGTTATTCAAATCGTCTTACAATGTGATTGGAGTAGCCAGGAGAGGGTGGTTGGTGCGATCGCACCCCCTCCCCCTTCATTACCAATGGAAATATGACCATGATGATAGAGGAAGAAAAGAGGCTTAAAATGCTTTTTATTTAAAGCTTCTAGCTCAATTTTGAAGGAAGTTACATTTTTGTAAATTCAAAACAAATCTTACACGTTTTCTAATGATCTAATTATGTTGTATATTCGTATATTTCGTTTTTTGGGTACCCGGTTTTTCGACCAGGTACCAAGTTTGTCTACGTAAATTTTATTTATATTATTAATTGCATTACATTTACATGTACATATTTATATTTACATTTACATGTACATAAATAAGAATGAAGGAATAAAAAAAAAAAAAAAAAGTTTGAACCCAGCATGGAGGATTTACTACCCGGTACCCGGTTTTTTCTACAAACCCTATCTAGAAAAGTAACCTCATTCCCTATAATTTGATGTAGATTAATCGAACCCCTATATCATGGGCTTTCAATTAAAAGCCCATGCCTACAGTAGGTAAAGATTAAAAGGTGGATTGGATCGAGTGGATTGGATTCATGTAAAAGGTGGATTGGATCGGGAATCTTCAAAATATGGATTTTCCTATAAAAAAATCTATTGATCTCCCTTTAGGTAGATTGATGCTCTCTTCACTTGCACAATGTCAAATTATAGATGTAATATTATTTTGCTTGGGTGGGCTAGAAGGATGACCTGGTACCCGCTTTCTGATACACGATCTTATTCATTCCAAGTGTAATTTGAGACATTTCATAAATCATAAGGCAGACTGGTTTGAAGATCCATAACATCTGTTTTCAATCCAAACTGAACATACCAGAAATGTTTTGTGAACATTCACAAATTAATTTGAATGACAGGTTTTCTTTTTCTAAAGATCTAGGTCTTACAAAAGTTGATTTACAAGGGAAAGCGGTTAAATACTTAAGAGTGTCCATGAACTAATTGGAGTATGTATTTGTCATTGCTTTGTTCTGATTTCTCAAAAGGGACCTGTAATACTGTAGAGGGAAATTGTTAAGAGGGAGATCAACAGAATTTTTTTATAAGAAATTCCACATTTTGAAGATTCCCGATCCAATCCACCTTTTACATGAATCCAATCCACTCGATCCAATCCACCTTTTAATCTCTACCCTACAGTATGGTAGTAGTTGGTCACGACGCCAGAAGCAGAGAAGTGCAAAGTATTGTTCCAAATTTTTGAATTTCGTGTTAGATTACGATACTCACACCTCAAGCATGGTTTTTGTTTTTGATAAATTACAATAAAGTTTAATAATATTTCTATGCGTATTTTGTGAAATTATGTTGACGTTTATTTAAGTTACAATGTAACGGTGCATTATATTTGATTAATCAGTATCTGAAAGTTTGATTCAAGTACTTTTACACGCTTTTACATTAGTCCAAATCACGCAAATCCCTTGAATGTCCCGGGACATCCTGCAAATTTAGGTGGATGTCCCGCGAAATCCCGCAAATTTAGGGCATTTTTTCTAGAAAAGCTGTCCCTCTATGAAGTTTTTGCTGGTAAACCTGTTAACTGTCCCGCAATTAGGGTGTTTGTCCCTCGAATGGTCCCGCGAAATCACGCGAATTTGATAAAAAAATTGGCCTATAAGCGCAATCACGCAAATCCCTTAAACCTCCCGCGAAATCCCGCGAATTTAGTAGATGTCCCGCAAAATCCCGCGAATTTTGGGCACTGGGTCTAAAAAATCTGTCCCGCGAGAAAATCTTTGGGGGTTGACAGTACTGTTTATTGTGCTACTTAAAGTGGATGAGAATTATTTTTCTACCACTTGGGAGAGTTTGAGACATGAAACTTAGAATTTAGCTCATTGTGACAACTTTTGAGGGTTGAGATTTATTTTTGTCCCCCACTTTATGTCTATGCACATCCTCTTTACCAGTAGTGCAGGCTTGTTGCTGTGTATGAAAATGAGGTGATCCGATTTCCAACTTATAAAGACGTTATTCTGGTACAATGTTAACACTCACCCTGACAGTGACAGTTACTGGTAATTCTCTATACTGTGTTCTTGCAATAAGCACAAATGTAATTCCTAATTTCAGTTTCTTAATTTTGAAAAATAGTCAGCATAATACACGTGCTGATAATTTCCAACTATTAACAGATATTACAAATGAAGATCAAGAAACATACTTAGATTAGTTATTGGACTATATAACTTATATATATCAATGATGTGTGTACACGTTATATATGCTCGTTGTTGTACACATACATTCATATCAAAATCAATTTAAAATGCATTTTGAGCACATGGATATCATGGCCTCGTTATAAGATTGGTGACCTTGAAAAAATGGCGACTGCAAAATTATATAGCGCTGGTCGGTCAGGTAACCTGTGATTTCTCTATCATAGCTTTTGTTAATTGACGTCAAATTTAGCCAATGATGAGATCATTATATGTTGATTCGTTTGAGGTGGATTATATAACTTGTTTTACCATAGATAGATTTAAAATTAACATCTAACGTTAGAAAATAAAAACAAAATAATTTTGAAAAAAATCTAAGCTTTCTAGCCTAGGCTTACAAAATCTTTTGAAAAATTTAGGCCCAAGCTACTAAAATAAGATTAGATAAGAAACTCCTCGTCTGGGAGGACTAGGTTAGCATTGGCCCTAGTATGTATCCAACAGACCGAATATAATATTCGGTCTGTTATGATTGATACCCCTGGCATGGAAATCTCGGCGATATTTTGTGCACATAAATATCTCGTTTATTACAAGAATGTTCACCTTGAAAATTGGTGAATATGTTGAAAAGATGTTCATCTTAAACTAGAAGCAAAAATATTTGTATAAGGCGGGTACAAGTTGATATAAAATAATGAAATGTTCAGACTCACCAAAAGTTCAGGATGTGTTCATAAGTACATCGCGAAATCAATGTCAAGGACGTTTTGAGTTCACGAGATCCAAACGAGATATGCAAATTTTTGAACTTTGACAACACATGACCACTTGATTACCTCGGCCTTCTTCATGAATATTTCCGCTCTATTTACTATAAATGACGAGATTAATCGGGATAATGATAATAAATGACTAGATCTAATAAATTCCCGCACAAATGGAATTTATCAATACGCTTCCGTAATGTTGCTCCGTCAGTTCCACGTGTTATTTGTTTACAAATAGACTGACGTCACTGGCTAAATCTCGTTTATCCTGAGAATTGGCATTGCCAAAATGGCTTGACCTAATCAATGGCTTCGCTACAAGAAGCGTCTGTACATTTTATGAATATCTTCAGTAAGAGGACAATATACGAAAAAATAATATTGTAAGTTCTTTATAAGGTAATCATTTTATCATTAAACAAACTTATTTGTAACATTTATACAACACCACATTTTACAATAGGTGACTTACAGTCTGAATTTATTCAGACGAAGGATACAGTCTAGCATTGGCCCTGAGGCATCAGCAGTTGATGTACCTACTTTCGTTATGGTCCATGTAGCTGCCTCGTAATCATCCGTAAAGACCATAGAGAAAGGCACTGTGTTAGATTTGGAGTGGTCGTAGGCCCGTTTCATTCGTAAGCCTGTCTTTCTACAATGTCGGAGAATGAACTACGCATTGCGCTATTAAATGACCTACCTCGATACATTCCAGAGTATTTTAAAATTCTTTTTATGTTGTTAGATCGCCAATTGTATGGGTTTATCGTCAGAACGAAGAGATTTTAGTTTTTACATCGGAAAGATCTAAGCAATTTTCAAAATGTCGGAAGGGGAATTCTCCAGGGATTTCCCTTATGACTAGTGCATGCCGGGAACTGAATGGAGGAATTTGACGGTTGAACCTACACGCAAATATTGCTATCAAAAACGAAAATATCTTCGTTCTGCCGATAAACCCATACAATTTGCGATTCAACCATATGAAAAGAATTCTAAAATACTCAGGAATGTATCCAGGGTTCGAAATTAGCGTTGCGGAAGTAACGATTCGTTCCTTCATTTTCTCAAATCGTTACCTAGCAACATGCCCAAGTAACGAAAACAGTTTCCTGGTTTATGGGAAGATCTCTATACGATCGTCAACTCAACTTCTCAATTGAAAAAATGCTGAGAATGAAAATATGCTGCCGTGATAAAACATTTTTTCTTTGGCACTTTTCGTCCTCTTTCACTTCAGCTTTTAGGCTATAACTTCTCAAAACATAAGATAAAGTGTTTACTTACCATACAGTTTCTTATTTTTCTAAAATAAAGTCTTAAAAATCGGCAATTTTCAGGTAAAATCACCGTATTATTAAGATACTTTTTGAAGATTAATAACTTCCTGTTGATTAGTGAGTGAGGGAGACATCTATTGAGAAAAATACTAGTAATTGCTTTCAATAAGCATACCCCCTTCAATAAAGTTTGCAGTTCCCATTTCACAATGTAGATTTGAAATAAAAAAATAAAATCTTGGGGAGGGAAACTCTCAAACGCAACAGCTGCATAAATTAAGCAGGTTGACCTTTCACTTTGAGCCACTTAGGAATGTTTATTATAGTCGGAAATTTAAATTTGAATGTTGAAACAACATGATTGGTCTATTATAATTTGGCCTGATCACATGACTACCAATGTTATGTTCTCACAAGACAACATCTTTTCTCTGAATTGATTGACTTGAAACATTCTTCTAAGGTCTTTTAAAGCTAATTCTATTTACTTTTGAGTCAGAAAAATACTATTTTTTGAGGCAAATATATCTATATCTATCATTCTGGAAAGAAGGATAGTCCTGTATGATCCAGTTCTTTTTATATCTTATTTTAATGTCATATTAAAGGGGGAGGGTTTATTTTGTAAACTATAATAAACTTGAGATCAACAGATCGATAGATTTGTTTTTAGTGTCAAGGAAAACTGTGTCTATCGAAATTCTTTCAACCGGTAAAAAAAACTACCTTACTTTGGAATTTAGTTACCTAGAAAAAATGTCAGGTAACTATTTTCACTACCAGTCTAAAAAGTTAAGTTTGAACCCTGGTATCGAGGTAGGTCATTTATGTGTGCAATGCATAGTTCATTCTCCGACATTGTAGAAACACAGGCTTACTAATGAATCGGGCCTACGACCACAATCTAAAGGGGTCGTAGGATGCGATAAACTGAAACCCATTATACCGAAAGTCATTATACCGATTGCTTACCTTCTTCTAAGGTCACTGTATCGTGGCATTCAAGTAAAGATATATTCCTGCATGAACAACTGGTCATGTCGTAATCATAAAATTTGAAATCATATGTCCGCCATTTTTCCACATCACAATTTGAATTGCGAGTTTTGGTCTTACTGCCTCACCAGAAATTCCAAAACACACATAAAGTGATCAGTGTATTAGTTCACATCTTCTGGATCGCTAACTTAGAATTTACAACCAGTTACTAATGTCAGATGTTAACGACATTTCGTCCAGTTTCCGAACATCGCCATTTTTCTTGGAGCCATTTTGTTTTAATTTTAGACGAAATCCTGATGAAATCATGTCATATCTCATCATTGTCCCACAAATTATATTTTTATTGGAATGTGTTCTTGAATAATTACCCACAATGCAATACTCAAAGAGAACATCTTAATACCTCTTATTCTTATTGGTCGTTTTTGTTTACTGTAGATGGGGTTAATTTGGCGCTAATTTATTTGGCGATTTTGCCATTTTTGGCATATTGGCGGCTATTTAATTTGGCGGATATGCAAAAAGAAGTTTAACTTACTCGCTGTTTGCATGGCCATGTTTGGCTATGTTCATTTTTTCTTTTGAGGACCACTAGTAATATTCACCACGTTTGTACATTTTTGTGAGATCATCCTTTACATTTTGCACCACGATCGATGCTGCTACTATACCGCCCTTTCCTTCCTAGTTTTTCCCTGAGTATTAATGAGTGACTGATCAGTTCTGAGCCAATTCATGAGACATTTTTTGAAAAAGCTAGACCGGAAGTGACCTTAATACACTGGAAGAAATACCCTAGGTAATTCCCGGGAATTCATTCTAGATTTTGGCGAAGATTAATATTGGCGAATTTTTCAATTTCGCCAAATTCGCCAAATTAAAGCGGGCGCCAAATTAACCCAATCTACAGTACTTTAACATGAGATTGAATATATTTTATGCTTTAATCATATGTGAAAATTGATTTTTATTCAAAATAATACTAAAACATATACATTTCAGTGCTCTCCCCAGGATTTTTTTGTTTGGAGGATTTGTTATTCTTTTAGTGCAACATTTAACTTAAGTATTTTGTTACATTTTGTGCAACATTTTATGATTTTGGAATTTTTTGTGCAACATTTTACAATTTTGGAACTTTTTGTGCAACATTTTAGAATTTCCTCATTTTTTATTGCAACATTAGTGAGGCGCACCAAATTGCATTGAGGAGCATTTTGGTTTTAGAAAATACATGGAGGTGCTGCGCCTCAGTGATTTCAATGTGGGGAGAGCACTGCATTTATCGAATACTTCTTTTGAAATATTACCATAAAAAGGGAAGCATGGCTTTGCTCATTTTGAAGTTCTCATGTTTATTACACAGAGTTGCATACCCTTCTAGTTGAAAGCCCATGATCCCATCAAGGAGCTGAGCGAAGTCCGTTTTGATAATGATTTATTTATCTGGCGATTTTTAAAATATACGGCGGCCAGCTTTTTTCAAATGGAGTTCACAGTATTCCAGATGAAATCCCCTCTAGCCAAGTATTGGCAAGAGACTCGAGTAACCGATTGCCATGATACCAACGTGCATTGTGCTGAAATATAACTAATAGGCGATGCAAGCGCAGTAATTGACAGACAAATTAGCGAACACATATTAAATCTATTTGGAGTAAGATATGAGAGGGTTTTCTAATTGTGATAAATGATATTCATTAATCATCCTTACAAATGGGAGAACATCTATTTTGAGACTAAAACAACGTTCTATAATCGTTTCCAGTTGATCCAAAGAAATACACTTAATGGCAACAGGACATCCGATTTAGAACAATTTTCGAAAATGGAAGCCACTTAAAATAAGTTGCCACAATTTTAACATTTATTCTGTGTTCTTCAGCCTAAGTTCAAGGATCCATTCTCGAGGGCAGAAAATTTGGATATAAATGTAAAAGAATACAGTAAAATGAACTGAAATTAAATGTAACGCATTAAATTATGAATCAATCACTAATTGATGATGAAATATTTTCGCAAGACTGACAATATTTTGTACACCTGTTTTGATGATATGAAAAAGCACGTACCATTGGAAAGCTTACCTTGTCTTCTTAAATTTATTATGTTCCTGAATTGATAGGCCTGAGAAATTAAATTAAAACATATTTTCACATATTTTCACAGACTAACAACATGTTTGTGAAGGTTTTGACTTGATATGATACAGTTATATATATATATACATGTAACTTCTTAGTCCTTGAATTTTGAAGATCTACCTGAAACCGCACGCCAATCTGTTTCATTTACCCTTTTCCGACATGAATATAAGAGGAAAATGTTGGCCTGGTGATGGATAAGTAAGAGCATTTTTAGGTAAAAACTGGAAATGATGTATACCCTGGGACCTCTACTTGAATTTTATCTCTACAATACAATTTTTGATAAGCAATATCACATGTCAAAAACTTTTTGGTGTAAAAATACTGAATAGAACTGGAGATATTGTCATTTCATTGATATGCAAATAAAAATAGTGGTGCCAAAAAGAACCTATCATCTTGAAACATTTAAGGTATTACGTAATAGGACTCCATAAGGAGCCTATCGTGGTAAAAGGGTTACCCAGTAGATGCTTGACTTGGGCTTTGATTTTAGGCTGTTTGCAGTTTTTGATTTTTTTCTTCCTTAATGGCCTATACAATCTAGTATTCTGTCACTATTTCTTGCCTGATCTTCCTGATTAAATGTGGATGATTTTCAACAATACTTATCCCACTCTTCTACTATTAGCATACATCTTCCATTACAAGCCTTATAACATCAAAAATATGGTGTAGGTATACATGTTTTAGCTACGACTCGCATCGGTATAACAGGTTTTGGTACAATGCGCATCGGTATATTGGTTTTTGGTACAATGCGCATCGGTATATTGGTTTTTGGTACAATGCGCATCGGTATATTGGTTTTTGGTACAATGCGCATCGGTATATTGGTTTTTGGTACAATGCGCATCGGTATATTGGTTTTTGGTACAATGCGCATCGGTATATTGGTTTTTGGTACAATGCGCATCGGTATATTGGTTTTTGGTACAATGCGCATCGGTATATTGGTTTTTGGTACAATGCGCATCGGTATATTGGTTTTTGGTACAATGCGCATCGGTATATTGGTTTTTGGTACAATGCGCATCGGTATATTGGTTTTTGGTACAATGCGCATCGGTATATTGGTTTTTGGTACAATGCGCATCGGTATATTGGTTTTTGGTACAATGCGCATCGGTATATTGGTTTTTGGTACAATGCGCATCGGTATATTGGTTTTTGGTACAATGCGCATCATTATATTGGTTTTTGGAACAATGCGCACCGGTATAATGAGGTGATCCGTTAGATTTCTCATGAATTTAGAACCAATCAGTGAGATTAAGATCATTTTGTTATTTAAGTTGTTGAAACGTCAAGTGACCTGATGTCACAGATGATGTTATATTCCAAGAATTTACATACTGTACTTCTACTTAATTTGGCGGCTGCTTTAGGAATTTGGCAGATCCGCCAAATTGTTAAAGTTCGCCAAATTAAGTAGCCACCAAATTTCCCGGCTATTTTAGTACCATGTAAATTAGTACCATTAGTACATTGTAATATTGTAAGTCAGCCTAATTACTTTGCCGCCAAATTTTCTAAACAGCAAAACTGCCAAAATAAGTAGCACCAAATTAAGAGTTTTGTATGGCGTCATGATTTAGATTATGCATCATGCCATTTTATGACACTGAAAATACAATTTTTATGAATTTTTTGTTCAAATTCCGTTAAAAGTTTTAAGTTGTAAGATTATGAGTTTCAGTACAACATAAACTCACAAAAAACTAAAAACAATAGAAATGATCACACCATTTTTTGCTGAGTTAAGATATAAACATTGTAATACTTCAGTCATTTTAATAATTTCTTAATAATTTTCTACCATATTTAATTTCAGATTTGAATTTGAAATCGAAAACTTCGATAATTATCACCCATTTTTTCCGTGTTGAAACTGAAGCATTTGTAGAATTTGGGATTGTCAAAAAGCCTTTTCTACTATATTTGAAAAATATAAGTAAAAATCTCTTTACATAGTAATTTTGTATTTTCAGCAACTCAACTGTTCCGGCAAACAATACGTCCACTTTCTGTCACCCAGGCAAGATCACATTACAGTGAGTAAAACTGTTATTGTACAATTGTATATTTAAACAAATCGATGTATTGGAAAGAAAAAATGAAAATAGTCAGGTAGCATTTTTATTTTAAAGTAACATTCATTTGTCTTATATTACAGTGTGCCTGTTGGATCAACAAGGTGACAGTATGTCAGTCTAATGCCTGGGTCACATTTGCTGCGATTGAGTATTTTGTTCAAAATTGAATACTTTTCTGAACAAAATACTCAATCGGCCGGGCGCCGTAGTGAAAATCGGAGCAAATGTGACCAAGGCATAACCATGAATCCATCCATTGGTACAGCAGTCAACATTTAAAACTGACTAGGCCTATTCAGCATTTACCAAGGATGATTCAGCTTTGACTGAATATCTAAATGTCCTTCTTTACAAGTTACAAGTTAGTTCAGGAAAGAAGAAATCCAGCTTTGAAAACCAAGGGATCATTAGTAGTCATTACTAACTAATTAGCTAATTAATTACTTTAATTAATATTTTTAGAACAAGTCAGTCCAGCAGATCCTAGTTCAGAATGGGTGGACATCACAGATAGGGCAGCCAATGCAGCTTTCATGACAGAGCTAGCCAGAGGTATTGTATTTAAATAGCTCATTGTATTTAATTAGCCCATTGTATTTATAAGCCAGCGGTATTGTATTTAAAAGTCCATAGTATGTCCATAGTATGTATTGTATTTAATTATCCCATTGTATTTATAAGCCAGAGGTTTTGTATTTAACAATGATCGGTTGGAAAATGTTGGGTTTTTCACATTTCCTTTGATCATTAATAATAACTAGCTCGTTTTATTTTATAAACCAGAGGTATTGAATTTAATGAGCCCATTGTATTTATAAGCCGGGAGTATGGCATTAAATTATCCCATTGTATTTATTAGCCAGAGGTATTGTATTTAATTAGCTGTATGCATGGTATTTATGAGCTAGGTGTTGTAGGTATGGGCTGTTAACACATTTTCCTTGAGTTTTCTTCCATTTTTGATGATCAAGAAACACAACAATTTTCCTAGCCTCACAAACTTTTTTACTTGCATAACCATTTTGTTACGTCACCAGAACTGGTGGCATATTGTTATAGTTTCCCAACTTTTTTTGTGGATGGTGTTCAGTGGTTGGCATTTGATGTTCAGCAGTTGGTATCCAGCCATCGGCATTTGGCATCTGTAACAAATGGTCAGGTGACATTTTGCATGCCGTGTTTTATTAGATGTAACCCCAATTTTATAAATACCAAGTAATGCATACCTTGCTAGTCTTAGTCAATTTCATGGATGATACCAACCCCACCACCCCTCTGGTGCCACCTGCTACATGAATAAACTCATCCATAACAACTGATTAGACCAGTCAATGTTATAACACAGGGGTGTTTTCTAATTTCAGGTTTAGGCATTGTGATGGGGCATCTATTCAGAGAGCCTGCCACCATAAACTACCCATTTGAAAAAGGGCCTCTGAGTCCTCGATTCAGAGGGGAGCATGCATTGAGAAGGTACCCATCAGGAGAAGAACGATGCATCGCTTGTAAATTATGTGAAGCTATATGTCCCGCACAGGTATGGTATATTTTTATGTCACCACCAAAAGTGGTGACATATTGTTATGGTCTCCGTTTTTTTGCGACGGCGGTTGGTGGTTGGAGGTTGGAGGTTTGCGTCCGGCGTCCGGCGTCTGTAACAATTTCTTACAACTTCCTATAACTTAACAAATACTGTTTAGACTGACTTCAATTTTTTTCTAAATCATCTACATGTTCTCAGAAGTTCAAATCTGACTTTAGATTTGACATTTGACCTTCAATGACCTTCTCAAGGTCAAAAAGGTCTTTTTTCAACTTGCTTCACATTGACTAAATTTTTTTTCAAAATCATCTACATGTTCTCAGAAATTCAAATCTGACTTTAGATTTGACTTTAGATTTGACATTTGACCTTCAAATCTGACTTTAGATTTGACATTTGACCTTCAATGACCTTCTCAAGGTCAAAAAAGGTCTGTTTTCAACTTGCTTCAAATTGACTAAATTTTTTTTTCAAAATCATCTACGTGTTCTCAGAAATTCAAATCTGACTTAAGATTTGACATTTGACCTCCAATGACCTTCTAAAGGTCAAAAAGGTCTTTTTTCAACTTGCTTCACATTGACTAAATTTTTTTTCAAAATCATCTACATGTTCTCAGAAATTGAAATTTGACTTTAGATTTGACATTTGACCTTCAAATCTGACTTTAGATTTGACATTTGACCTTCAATGACCTTCTCAAGGTCAAAAAAGGTCAAAAAGGTCTAAAAGGTCTGTTTTCAACTTGCTTCAAATTGACTAAATTTTTTTTTCAAAATCATCTACGTGTTCTCAGAAATTCAAATCTGACTTAAGATTTGACATTTGACCTTCAATGACCTTCTCAAGGTCAAAAAAGGTCTGTTTTCAACTTGCTTCAAATAATTGACTAAATTTTTTTTTCAAAATCATCTACGTGTTCTCAGAAATTCAAATCTGACTTTAGATTTGACTTAAGATTTGACATTTGACCTTCAATGACCTTCTCAAAGTCAAAAAAGGTCAAAAAGGTCTTTTTTCAACTTGCTTCAAATTGACTAAATTTTTTTTCAAAATCATCTACATGTTCTCAGAAATTCAAATCTGACTTTAGATTTGACATTTGACCTTCAATGACCTTCTCAATGTCAAAAAAGGTCAAAAAGGTATTTTTTCATCTTGCTTCAAATTGACTAAATTTTTTTTTCAAAATCATCTACATGTTCTCAGAAATTCAAATATGACTTTAGATTTGACATTTGACCTTCAATGACCTTCTCAAGGTCAAAAGGTCAAAAAGGTATTTTTTCAACTTGCTTCAAATTGACTCATTTTTTTCAAAATCATCTACATGTTCTCAGAAATTCAAATCTGACTTTAGATTTGACATTTGACCTTTAATGACCTTCTCAAGGTCAAAAAGGTCAAAAAGGTCTGTTTTCAACTTTTTTCAAAATCATCTACATCTTTTCAGAAGTTCAAATTTGACTTTGCAAGTTCTCAGAAGTTCAAATCTGACTTTAGATTTTTTTAACTTGCTTCAGATTGAACAATTTCTTTTTTCAAAATCATCTACAAGATCCCAGAAGCTCAAATCTTCAAAAACCTTCTTCAGGTCAAAAGGTATTTCCCAACTTGCTTTAAATTGACCAAATTGTTTTAGGTGGTGACATTTCGTCATGTTAATGCCTTGTTAATGTATTTTAGATACCACAGACAATCAAAACACATTAATGATTTAAAACAATAAGATCAAATAATTTTGGTGTTTTCAAATATCAACATTAATTTGCTTCGCTATCTCATGTTTATATATAATGTCAGCTCTTGAAAATGGTGTCACTCATAAAAATCAGATACCTTTATAGAGTCACATATGAATGGAGGGTAGGTCTCAAAAAATTAGTACTATGTTCTATATGTAAGTCATTTTGTTAACTGCCAAGCCACATCTACCCTAAGCAATGGAACCTTTTGCAATTGAGTTTTAAAAATGATTTTGGCAAATTCTTGAATTGTAAAAGTTAAAAGGCTCTTTATGAAACTTTTTAAAATGATATGTCACAAAAGTGATGTCACATTTACTAGAAAATAACCCAGATGTGAGTATTACAAGTTTCACCACCAGGTTACTCATTAGGGTCAGATAACATGGCAGGTATTTAGAAAGTTCTATTTAAACAGAATAGTCAATCGGCCGGGCGCTGGCTGATGAATCCGAGCAAATGTGACTAAGGCATTGAAGAGCAGTACTGTAATCCCTGTACCTTGTGAAAGAAATGATGGTCCCCCAGGGATTATGGTCCCCTTTCTTAACGCCCCTTACTGGCCCTGATTGCGTATAAGATAATGAGGGAAAGAGTTGTATTTAGGTCACCATATAAATCAATGGAAAGTAGGACCATAATTTGATAGGACCTCCTACCCTTTTACACCATGTTTTATTTGAAGTTCGCAATGCCTCTTGTATTGGATCAGCCAAAAGTGTTCAGATGGGCAGGTCACATTTCTACAGTTCGTGGAAAATGGTATATCAATGGCAGATGAAAAAATGGGACCAAAAATGTTCACATTGAAACTATTCAGATATGAGAGGTGTTATTTATGGCTCAAATTCATTCCAGGCTATTACAATAGAAGCTGAACCGAGAGCTGATGGTAGTCGACGTACTACACGTTACGACATAGATATGACCAAATGCATCTACTGTGGTTTTTGCCAAGAGGCCTGTCCTGTCGATGCTATTGTAGAGGTAAGTAATAAAGAATGAAGATATTTAGTAAAACCTGTGAAAGTGGAACAGAAGCAAACGCCTTTGGAACCTCTAAAAGGTGTTCCCTTTTGGAGGTGTTCCATTTATAGAGGTTCATTTAACATTAAGTCCGTTGGTAATTGGACCACTTATGGAGATGTTCCAATTACACAGATATTCCACCTTACATCTTTACTGTATTATTAAGAAACTCTTGTAGTGCATGCTTTTAACTCATTTTACTAAGCCAGCATGAAGGGTCTTATTGCAACAATTTTCAGTACAGAAGAACAACACAAAAGAAATTTGACTTGGAGTATACCTAACAAGTTCTTATTTCATTTTTTAGAATGCCCATTGGTTTTATTACCGAAGGGTCTATTGGAAGACTCTTATTGTCATAATTTCCAATATACTATACATATTTCCATAGCCTATGTTAACTATTATTAATAATATTATATAAAGGCCTGTAGCCAGCTTTTGCCAAGGGGTGTTCACTTTTCCAAATAATTCTATGGGGGTTCACTTTGGCCCAAAATCCCATGATAAATGTTAAAAATGGTAAAAACTGGATGATTTTGAAAGAATTTTGGCCAGGGAGGCTGAACCCTTGGAACCCCCCCCCCCCCCCCCTGGCTACAGGCATTTTTATGTAACCACAAAAAGTGGTGACATATTGTTATGGTCTCCGTTTTTTGTGATGCTGTTGGCGATCGGCGATCAGTGGTTGACAATCGACGGTTGGCGTCTGTAACAAATGGTGGTGACATTTTGCATCTTAGTACCTTGTTATAATCGCAACCAGGTGTTGTAAATTTTTCATGTTAATGCCTCGTGTATTTATTTCCAGGGTCCTAACTTTGAGTATTCAACAGAGACACGTGAAGAACTACTCTACAACAAAGAAAAATTACTAAACAATGGCGATAAATGGGAGGCTGAGATTGCAGCAAATCTACAAGCCGATCATCTATATCGCTAAAAATTAGGACATTTTCAGTCTTTTAGCCAAATCTATATACACATGTCTATAATATAACATGTATCAGATAAACTTGTTACTGAATGTTTTGCTAAGTGTTATATGTACATTAAATAATGTTCACTAAAGTAGAGTTTCAACTGGAGAAAAAATTCAGGGAGCGTTTTCTTAGAGAAGGAGTTTCATTGTAAATTGGTCTCTTTATGAAATTGAATAACTGCCGGTTTGTTAACATTCAAAGTTAATAAAGTATACCTATAGAGGGCTCTGGGGTATTATATCGCATTAATTGACTATCTAGATCAACCAAAGCTACCTGGGCCACTTTTTGTGAAAATAGCTAATTTGGCTGTACATGCACATGTAGATATTTATGAAAAAATAAACCATTGATACAAAGCATTATGTGATGCATTTATCATATAGCAAGGGGTTGGAAAACTCAAACCGTATGTGGGGATTGGTGTTTGGCATCTGTAACAAATGGCAGGTAGTGACATTTTGCATGTTAATGCATCATTCAGGATTTTGCATTTATTTGGTCAAAGTATCATTATAAAGTTATAGCTGGTTAATGCATTCGATGAAGTGCAGAATTCATTGAACTATGACTGCTTTAGAGACACAACCAGGTACAGAATTCATTCCTATCTATGACATATCTAAGATACTATTTATAAATATAAAACACGCCGTCATCATGACGACTACACACCTGTCAAATCGCGATTTAAATTAGGAGAAAACCCATTTTTTATTTTTCATCCCGATTTTCTTTTCAAAATCCCGATTTAAAGATAATATCCCGATTTTTCGTAAAATATCCTGATTTTTTCATAAAATATCCAGATTTTGTGTTCAAAACTCCCGGTTTGTTAACGAGACATCCCGATTTTTTAGTAAAAACTTCGATTTTGAAATGGTACCCTCCTGATTTTCGTTCAAAACTCCCGATTTTTAAATGAGATGCCCTCTCAAAAATAAAATACGATATGGTTTTGTGATAAAACAAAATACATAAGCTAACTACACATACAATATACACTTGTAAAGCTCTCATCTTTTAACTACAGTATTTTAGACCAGAAATAAATCGAACGTTCTGGGTCTGATAAATTCCGAACAATTGAAACGCATGTAGGAGACATTACAATGAAAGTTGGAAATGAAAGTTGGAACGTGGTGAAAAGAAATGTGCAAAATCATTTTTGTGATAAAACAAAATAGCTAACTACATGAACTACAAATCCAACATCTAACTGCGGTATACGGCATACTCACCTGCGGAATATGCGATATACCACAGGTGAGTATGGCATATTCACCAGTATCACAAATACCGCGCAACCATGAATATGTCATATTCCGCGTAATAGAGATTTCATAATGTCATTGATGTAAATAAGAAACAGAATAGGCCCAAGGATCGAGCCCTGCGGACCCCCACAGGTGACTGCATTTGGTTTGGAAGTCTTGTCATAATTGCATCAAGGGGGAAGATACTTTTAGACTCCCTATTTGATGTAGATTAATCGAACCCCTATATCATGGGCTTTCGATTGAAAGCCCATGCCTATATGAATAGGTACATTTTAATATATAACACTATGGGGGTAAGCGTTTCATAGTTGGTTACAAACGCCATAAGTGCAAAGTATTGTTCAGAATTTTTGTAATTTCGTGTTAGAATACGGTACTCACACCTGAAGTATGGTTTTTGTTTTTGATAAATTACAATAAAGTTATATTATATTCCTATGAATATTGTTTGAAATTGTGTTGACGTTCATTTAAGTAAAGCTACAATGTAAGTGCATTATATTTGATTAATCAGTTTCTGGAATTTTGATTTGAGTACCTTTACAGTAGTCTCAATCACGCAAATCCCACTATGTCCCGGGATATCGCGCAAATTTAGGTGAATCGTCCCGCGAAATCCCGCAAATTTAGGGCGCTTTGTCTAAAATCTGTCCTTCTATGAAGTCTTTGGTGGTTACCCTGTTAACTCTCCCGCAATTAGGGTGTTTGTTCCTCGAATGGTCCTGCGAAATCCCGCGGTTTTGATAAAAAGAAATTGGCCTATTAGTGCAATCACGCAAATCCCTCAAATGTCCCGCGAAATCCCGCGAATTTAGTGGATGTCCCGCAAAATCCCGCGAATTTTTGGCACTTGGTCTAAAAAAATCTGTCCCGCGAGAAAATCTTTGGGGGTTGACAGTACTGAGTTATATTTAAATCTTTCTTAAATCCATTCCAAGATTTGCCTCAATTCTCTTCAGGTAACGGTGTACATGTATTTTCTTAACGTTGTACATGTCTCATGTCGAAATTAACACGATCTCTTACAGTCTTACAATCTCCCAAACACTGGTGTTCATCATTCGTGTATGCATAGCGCACTTCGTTGCATCATTTGGGAAGGCGTGGCTTACCACCATTGGAGTTATTTTTGTTTTTGAAGACGGAAGAATATAACAATATCAATTTACTGCAGTATATTTATTAAATTATTTTTTTTGTATATTAAAATACATTTTAAAATACATTATTTTGTAAAACAATCTATCACAGCTGCCAATCAAGAGTTTTCCATCAATATTTAATGGTCATTTGGGGTCAAGGTCGCATAACTATAATTGGGGGACACAATTGATTACAAAGGATTGGTATCCATATGGTGAATGGTCATCTTTTGAATGGAAACAATATAAATAGAGGATATTCTATGATTTATGAGTGATATGATTTTTATCCACGAATGGATATGATATCTGCACGAGCGAGCGTATGCTATGGTAAAGTGAAAATTTGTCAAAAATATCATATTTTACCACTGATTACAAAAATACCGTTTTTATTTTCACATGTTATCCTATGAATATCATGCTAACTATGGGATAATTATAAATATATAATATATACGATCAATTGATCGATCGTCTATAAATATTATATTATTATAAGTAAATATATAAACGTTTCTCTTTATTGTTTTAGAAAACACATCAAACACTTCTTTTGTTCTTGGTATCATATGTTCGGAATGGAATGAAACATCTATCCGAACCTCATATATTGAAACAAAATGACATAAACACGACGTGTTTAGGTCTCAATATTGTAACTAGATAACGGCAACTCCGCGGAGTAGCAAATCCCAACGAACAAAATATCAATTACCGAATTCCAATCAATTATACTCATTACTTTGGTTAAAATTGAAAAATTTAGATTTTAGAATTGCGAATTCCTGCAAAGCAGCCATTTTGAATTTTCTGAGGTACAAATCTGAAAAATAATACCAATTTGAGTATAATATAGCCATACTTTGAAGGGATCGAAAAATTATTGCGAAATCGTACATTAGACGGCCATTTTGAATTTTACGAGGCTCGAATCAGAAAAAAGATACAATATTTGCAATCTACTCTTAATTGCCTTCCATTTGAGTATAATAAAGCTATACTTCAGAAAGATCTAAAAATTAGCGAAAATTTCTGTTTTCCTGACCCCCATACACGGCCCCTGGGGGTCAGGATGAAAAACACAGAATATATGTGGAATAGATAGATGTTGCAAATATACTACCAAAATTTCAAACAATAATATTAATTACTTTGGTTTAGAATGAAAAATTTATGATTTTTGCGAAAAAGTCCCGTCATTTTTTAGGCGGCGGCCATCTTGAAAAAACTTTTTTTTGCGTAAAACTATTCATCAATATACATCTTTCCACCAAATATGAAGAAAATCCGTCAACTAATATTTGAGTTATCTTCCAGACAGACTGACTGACTGACGGACGGACAGACGGACGGAGGGCTTCACTATATCCCTACCGAACTTCGTTCGTTGGGATAATTATACAAAGGAAAGCCGGTTTGATTGATTGAAAAAAGTATTTTGAAATAAAAGGGTTATCTTAATTTTTGTCTATTTTTTGTTTCAACCAGAATTTCCTTTGTTTAACTATTTAATATTGTGAGGTCTAAGAAAATGTTGTATATGCAATTTTGTCTCAACACGCTTCGGAAAGATATGTTATTTCATTTTCAACAATTGGTAAAAAGGAAAAAAACAATTGCACTAAAAAAGAAAAAAAATGTTACAAAAACAGTTATATAAAATATATATAAATATTTTCGCATTGAATTGATGTCGATCAGTCAACATTACACAAAAGATCCTGTTTTTACAGAATATCGATACCAATTCTTTATCAACACGATCGGCAAAAGTATCTTGAAATAAAAGGGTTATCTTAATTTTTGTCTATTTTTTGTTTCAACCAGAATTTCCTTTGTATAACTATTTAATATTGTGAGGTCTAAGAAAATGTTGTATATGCAATTTTGTTCCAACACGCTTCGGAAAGATATGTTATTTCATTTTCAACAATTGGTAAAAAGGAAAAAAACAATTGCACTAAAAAAGAAAAAAAATGTTACAAAAACAGTTATATAAAATATATATAAATATTTTCGCATTGAATTGATGTCGATCAGTCAACATTACATAAAAGATCCTGTTTTTACAGAATATCGATACCAATTCTTTATCAACACGATCGGATAGACCAGCGGATTTTAATTGTTGAAGGTTTTGCCGAAATCCTTGGTATGTTCATACATTTGAATGAAAGGGGCGGTATCATAAATGGGATAACTCTATTGTGCCTTGTCTCATTATTTCTTTATTTAATAATACATTTATATGTTCACATAGAGACACCATTCTATAGAATTGCAACTTTATTTGAGATTCAATAATTAGATTAGATTACAAAAATATTGGAATTGAAGTTATAGTAAACCTCATTATTATAGAGGTCACTAGTAGGTTGTACAATTTGTACATTTGATATTTTCTGAGTTGAGCGGCACAGAGAGTCTTTTTGGCAATTAATTGTACTGTTGAAAACGTTCCTAATGTTGAAGGTTTATGTCCACACAAATTCTTCCTCTCCTCCTTGTCCTTCAACGGAATCAACCCCGACCTCTTCGTATTCTTTCTCCAGGGCAGCCAGATCCTCACAGGCCTCAGCGATGGCGGTGGTGTTGCATACGGCACGTTGGACCTTGGCGAGATCACCTTTAAGGAATATAACCCAAAAATGAC